TGCTCAAAGCTGAGCTTAAAACAAATGCGGTGCACCGAAACAATCTGTAGTATAAATATGAGCGTTTGTGGTTTACTGCTGTAGTTGTAGTCTTGCTCTTGTGATTAAGTAACCAAAAATAACCAAACGCACTATTCTAGTCCTTTGCAGCATCTGATGACAAGTCTCTGATACAGCATCAATTACAAACACAGAATTAGTTTGAGTCACAAAGATCTGTGAAGAGCTGTAATAATAGTTAGGATGATGTGTGACATTAAAAAAAACACTTTATAATAGTATGAAAAGTCCCTCATGTAGTTTTGTTCATTGCATTCTAAAGCTGTAAAAACCACTTTGTTGACACATAAACCCCTCAGACTGGCCAGCTATAACACCCTCATGTCACAGCAGCCGTCGATGGCTGAATGAAGCGGGAAAGAGGCCGAAATAAATGACTGGCATATTTAGAGACGTATCCAGAGATAAGTGCTCCTAGAAGACCATGAAGTTTATATGTTCGCTCTGTACATGTGTTCCAATGAAAGGGGTGCTTTCTCTCTGCGCTGGTCCTGTATGCCCTGCAGAGGCAGGCTGTAATCAGCGGAGACTTAATTAGAGAGGACTCAGTGGGAGGCAGAGAAGTCTCGGGACTCACCCCACCAAGTACAGAAATACCCATTTCCCTAAAACATGGGACTGATGCACCAACTGCGACAGCTTTGCAGAGAGTTTTAAGGCCAAACACTCAGGTTCAGGTTGTGCCTGTCAGCCTCGTGAGTCAAAGATTGAGTTAATAAACACATGTTGGGGTCATTTAGTTACAAATAAAGTCCATTTCTATACTCATTCATCTAACTTTATCATTTATTTATATGGGAAGAAATGAAATGACGCTCAGTGTTGCTTTTACATTGCAAACCATTTATAAAAATGTAGACCAAAAAAAAAAAAAAGAAGTCTCAAACAGCTGCTCTGTAAACTCATGAGGATGCAGACGGAGGATGGGAAGTTGAGAAAGAGGGAGGAGGAGATGAAAATAGAGGGCTGGACATCAATTTGCAGTGAGGAGACTTTTTACTGTGGAGCTCAGTTAAAAAAAAAAACACTCAGTTTAACTTAGCAGGGAGGGCAAATGCTCGGAAACTCTTCCTTCACTCTTACTTTCTTCTCGTTACTCTGTCTCCCCCCTTTTTCTTCGTCCCGCAGTCGTCTGCGCTGCACCGAGCTGCTCAGAAGACAAACCAGGGACAACGTTCTCTGTAAGTATATGTTTATGTTTTCTGTGAATTTAAAGTGGAAGTTGTCAAGATGGAGAGACGAGAGAGATTCTAGATTTTATGATCAATTTGATTTATATTTGAAGTTTCCTGTTGGAAGTTTTTACAACTAACAAGTGGTGGTGGGAAGAACATTTACTCAGTTAGGTGCAGTTTTGAGGAACTTTTCTACAATATTTCTATCTTATGCATGTTTTTTTACATTTTTTAGACGAGCTCCATCACATTTCATAGGAACATATTGTACTTTTTACTCCACTACATTTCACTGGCAGCTTACAGTTACTTTGCAGATTGAAATTTAAACCATATGATCACATTTGTAAGAAAATATATGATGCTGAGCTACAGATCAAATCACCCAAGAGTACTATACCGTGGTATTCTTTACTGTATATACAACAAACAAAAAATTCTCTACATGCAATTGTAATAATGATCAATTAATATTTCATAGTGTAACAGTCACAGGGGCTGTAATTCTGCAGAATGAGTGCTTTTAATACTTTTAGGACATTGTTGAAATAACACTTCTGTCCGTTTGCTCTCTGACTGCCTGACTTTTACATGTAATTTTGCATTTTTACATTGTGGTATTACTACCTTTCAGTGAAAGTTCTGATCACTTCTTCCACTCTTGCTAAAATTAGATTTAAATTATCAATGATATATTTAATTTTTAATCTATAAATGATTAATCTGAAGTCTTTTTTTGACTTTAGCTGCCAAAATGTGTAGTTCACGGAGTCAGTGTGTCAATAAACATGTTTTCAAGTGGTCTGCAACACTTGGTATCAGGTTGAATTTGTAGTAAATGTGTCTAAAAATGAAGCCAAACACATTTAAAACATTTGCATTTGCCGTAAAGACGCAAAGAAATTCAGAATAGGGTTTCTGATTTAGCTCATCTGATACATGTAGTGTGGATCTGTACATTTTAAAGCAACTTAAAGGTGAACATGGAGAAAACTTTCAAGGTTATGAGATGCATAAATGTCATCCTGGAGATGAGTGGCATATCTGATGTTTGGATGGCCTTCGGTCTGAAGGTAATGTCAACCCTCCAGTGAAATACGGGAACTGTAATTTTAGTTGTAATTATGGGGATTCAAAGGGCAGAGCTGTCCTATAGCTGTACATCCCAGGATGGTGACCCAGCCCTCCATCTGGTCGTCCGTACTGTATGTTCGACCACACAGGAGCAGCGGGAGGAGGAGGAGGGGGGTCTCACTGTAAATCAGAGCAGCAGCAGCAGGTTGGCTATAGCATGATGCTGATTAGAAGCTTGTCTTCACAGCTTGGCACTTTGTAATTACACACTGTAAAGAGTTAAACAGGTTTTAAATGGTAACAGCCTGACTGGTTGAAGTTATTCTCCGTCAAATCTTGGCCTCGCTGTGAAGAGGAGCGAGAACGGCGGAAAGACAATAACGGAGAAAAGCAATAATGAGCTGTGAGGCTTATTCAGCCAGTTGTACTGTAAGTAAATGCAGGTTTCCCTGGAAGCAGAAATATCCTGTTCAGGTCTGTGCTGCTGTGGGCTGGTGCTCAGCAGCTGTTGCCCAGTGTAAATATAGAGGCCACAGCCACAGGTCTCCCACGCCTCTGTGCTGCCTTTAGAAAATAGCTTCCTCCTGGCTTTGGTGTGGTGGATGGGTGGCCTCCCTCTACTTTACAAATTATAAGGCCTTCAGCACCAAACTCGCTGTCTCCACCCCAAATAAGTAATGGCTACTCTCCTGCCTGCTAAAATAGATCTGCTGCAAGATAGGCAGAGGCAGAAAACCTCGAACAACCTGAGTCAAGACGGACACAGGAGGAACATTTTGGATACTGTACGATAAATATTTAGTTGGAGACAGGAGCTCAGCCGCTTAGGTTAGCAGAAAAACCTGGAAACAGTTGGTGTGGCAAAGGTAGCAGAACCCTCCTGGCTTCAGCTTGTTTTTACTTCTTCTCACTGTGTCTGGATAAAACAAACAGGATCTGATGAGTTCATTTTAATGTTCTTTGGCAGATTGTCACACCTTCAGATAGAACCAAGCTTGCTGTCTTTTCTGTTTCCAGTCTTTGTGCTAAGCTAAGCTAACGGCCTCCTGGCTGCAGGTTTCTAATGATTGCACAAAGTCTTTGCATGTAATAAATTAATGTGTTTGTTAAACTGCTTCTTGAAAGAGAAAATCAAAATACTGTGCTGGTGAATCGCTATATGATCAAGTTTGAACTTTAATTTATCCTAAATCCGACCTTTTGTTGTTGCAGGACCAGAAGACACGATGGCCTCCCACCTGGTTTTTCAGGTCACCTGTGTGACTCTGCTCTCGCTCTGCTGCAGCTTGTGTCACTGCACTCCTTTGTTCTACAACATATCCATGGACGGCAGCGGCGATGAAGCCGAGCTGGAACTTCTTTTCCCGACGTCTTTTTCCACCCGAGCACCTGTTCAGATTACTTCATCTACCGGAGCGCCCACCCTCACCAACACCATCACCACCACCATGATCCGCCTGAAGGACTTCGTCCTGAGCCGAGTGGTGGACTTCCTGCAGGAGAATCTGCTCATCATCATTGTGGTCACCTCTCTTCTCATCGTCATGGTCTTCATCATCTGCTGCGCCTCGGCCATGAGTCACAAACGCAAGCTGGAGGCCTACAAGCCTCCTCCGAACCCGCCCAGGAAGTATGCAGCTGATAAAACCGGAGGACGCAAGAATTCAGGCGACTTCCAGGAAAGGCCGTACGCCGTCGACCACGTCAAGAGGGTCCAGACTCAGAGCATGGCCTCCCCCAAGAACCTGAGGCAGCCCTCCAAGGCTCTGGTGGGAGAGAGGGGGAGGGAAGTCCGGTCGTCGCCTCGCCAGGAGGTCAGAAAGGCCAGAGACGTAGAGGCGGTGGAAAAGCGCCGAGAGGAGCCCAAATACAAAGAGCAGGTGAAGTACAGGGAGGAGGTGCAGCAGAGCTCCAGCCCCAGCACCAGCTCCAGTCCACCTGTCTGCACCTGCCACCTGAAAAAAGCCCACCACTAGGGCAGGATGGAGGCTGTTGTTGGAGGGAGAGGTGACGCAAATTAAAAGCAAGATCAGGCAGTTATTCCAGGCATGTAGGCAAAATATGTCAACAGGATTTTAGTGGAATGACTTTGATGGAAAGGGAGATATATTGAAGTGAAGTCTTCCCTCACATGTAAAATCATCCATCTTTAAAATAACTCTGAAAAAAAGAAAAATATGAAATACTGCATGTTTCAAAAGTATAAAAAAAGGAAACACAACAACACGGAACAAGTTTACTTACTTCTCCAGTTTATTGATTCACTTTGACACGATACTGTCAGTGACTGAAACCAGCAGATATGAGCAAGAACGGCTGCTTTTATTGAATACTGGGAGCTTTTTAGTTTGAAGGAGGTTTGTGGATAGTTTGTCACCTTACACCTGAGTCTGGCAGTGGACATGTGGTTTTTATCAGTGGTTACAGTTCTCAACAGCCGGATATAACACCACTGAGGCTGCTTGTCTCATAAGACAATAAAGACCAGAAAACCTTAAAATATTTTAAATCTAATGAAAAATTACAAATACTGTGCAGCCTGGAAGTTTTTTTTTTTTTTTTTTTTAAATGGAATTATGGAGTAAAACATGACTGTTTAACATGTTTTACTCCATGTTCCTGCCCAGAGGAGTCTCCTCAGTGTGTCCTGCTGAACAACATCGATTTAGCAGCTAAGAGCCTTTAGATCAGGGGTGTCCAATCCTGGTCCTTGAGGGCCACAATCCTGCATGTTTTAGATGCTTCCCTCTTCCAACACACCTGATTCAAATGATCAGGATCGTTATCAGGCTTCTGCAGAGCTTGATGATGAGCTGATCATTTGAATCAGGTGTGTTGGACGAGGGAAACATCTAGAACATGCAGGATTGTGGCCCTCGTGGACCAGGATTGGACACCCCTGCTTTAGATGAATCAGCCACTTGGAGCAACATCACTTGTGCTGTAACTTAGGCAACATGAAATGCCAGTAAACTTGACTTGGAAAAGTAGCAGAACGCTCTCTTTATATTTACATTCCTATTTACTTTTATTTTATTGTTATTTTATGTCTCATATCATACTGTATTTTATTTGAAGACCCTAATTCACAAAGTTATCCACCAAAAGCAGAATCTATAACTGTGTCACTTCTGGATAACTGGGTTAAAAGCATCCGTATATCTTCTATAATGTTTACATATTTATTTGGTTGATAATTTCTATATCTGTCTTCAACTAGCAAAAGACCATTTTTGTTTTATTTTGGTGAACAGTCTTTGTGAATAAGGGTTCAAGTTTTCTTTTTAATAAGTAATACTTATGTATAAGATAAATTATGTTTTGTTTTAATGTAAAGATTTGAAATGAGTCAAGAACTTGAGTACAGAGACAGATGGTTGGCTTGTGTTGCTGGTGCAAAAGTTCTAAATCAAAAGCTGACATATAGTGGCAGTGGTGGAAGTATTCAGATTCTTTACTTAAGTAGAAGTTCTCATACCACACTGTGAAGTCTTTCCAGTATAATTAAAAGTCCTGCATTCAAAACTTTACTTAAGTAAAAGTATCATCAGCAAAAAAGTTACACATCATGCGTATGGATTAATTTTACTGCTGCATCAACGTATATGTTGCATTTTACTGCTGTAGGTGTTTAAAGTTGAGTTATTTTCACTACTGTGGATGGTTTAATCTACATAAATGTATTCATCTCTATAAAATCATCATATGTTTGTATCGTTGCTTTCCTGTGGGGACCATGAGTCTGTAAAAAGTCAACTTTTCAGCCCTGAGTTGAGCTTTGTGGCATGTATTTCACAGCTAATACAAGAGAGATTTAGATATTTTATCTTAAATATGTTTTTTATATCCTAAAAAATAGAGGAAATATTTCATCTTTCCCTTTTTCTGAAAAATTCTACATCACCAGATAAGGAGATATTTGGTTTTTACTGGACAGGAAGGTTTTAAAACGGCTGAAAAGCAACTAAAGCAAATGTAATGGAGTAAAACGTACATTATTTTGTTTCAAAATGTAGAGAAATAAAAGTATAAAGTTGTATACAATGGAAATACTCCAGTAAGTTGGTTTGTACTTAAGTGCAGTACTTTATTAGATGTACTTGGTTACACTCCACCACTGCATATTTGTCATGTTTATCTGCTTTTATCTGACTAAATGACAAGAAGTAATATATAAAACTCTCCAATTGACTGTCCCACTACTCAAGTTCATGACTCTGAGCATCTAAACTAAATGTATAATATGCAGCTTGTATGAGTTGAGGTCAAAGTACTCCTCAGATTGTTGTCCTCACGTGTTTCCACACAGTTGCCTCCTCTGTGACAGTTGTATTGTTTACCAAATGACAATTTTGTTTAGCTCACGTCTAATAAAACTATTGGTAAAGATGATTCTGTCATTACTGTAAACGTAGCAGTAGAAACGCTGGAAGTCGAGCCAGACGAGACACAAGCACAGCTCCGAGGAAACCTACGATTAGAAAAGGCGAGGAAGGTCCAAAAGCAGAGGAAGCTCTCTACGTGCACATTATGTTCAACATGGAAATCTGTAATTTTGAGCCGCGTCTGCTCAAGAATCAAAGGCAACTATTTTAAGTTAATTATCCAAATGTCAGATTTGTGATATTTGCTCTGTGATAAGTTGTCTTCAGAATGAACATTTCAGGCCCAAGATGTTGCAAACACAACACGGTAACTCCTCCACAGTTTTCCCAGAGAGCGGGGGAATGTTTTCACAGCAATGACTAACATTACCTGCACGTTCTAATCATGTTGTAAAGAAAACCTTTTAGTCTAATGTTCAAAGAAGGTATTAAGGAAATTTTTCATTTCAAATAATGTCCCTTTAACTAATAAAGAACGTTTTAAGTGGAACATTCAGAGGATGTGTGACGGATGTTGTCGGGTTGTGTCACATGATAACAAAAAAAGAACGTTTCTAAAGCAATATTCAAAGAAATGAATGTTTGTTTTGAGCTAAAAGACGATACCGATGTGGTCATTTTGTCTGCAATATTCTGAGGATGTTCTGGGGATGTTGCGGGGGTAACACATTATAGAACATTCTTCCATGATTCCACATGATAGCAAAGGAAGGGCGTTCTCAATGCAACACTCGACAAATGTTTTAAGAACGTTTTGAGAGAAAGGTTTTTAGAGAGCTTTATCTTGCTTTTTGGAAGAACATTCTCTGAACTAAAAAAAACCAGCAACTTCCTACTGAAAACATAATTTGAGCTTTGCAGAACTTTCTCAGACTGGTTTTTGAACGAAAATAAATTCTGTGTGGGTTCTGATCGGCCTCGTTGGTCCCCAAACACAGGGCAGCAGGACAAGGTACTAGAGCCTGGAGACGACCAGAGCCTCTTTGTCCTTCGCTGGCACCTGTACAAGATTGTTTAAATATTTCAACAGCAGTAAACCAGATACATACAGAGGCCTTCGCCGCAAAACAACAGCTCACGTATTGTCTGCACAAATCCTGGAGACACTGATTTGTTCCAGTTAAAGCAAAAACTCAAATAACGTTTGTCCTCCACGTTTTAAACCAGCAATGAAATACTGCCCTTGTGTGAACCGTGCAAGTATTGGTTTATTGGTTATGAATATTAACGCAGATGTTTTGACATTATATCTACATTATCCATCATGACATGGCTTCACTATAATCTGAAATCGATTAAAAAATACCAAAAAAATCATTCTAAATGTATAAGAATATGATTACATAATGATGAAATGGCTGAAGCAAAAACCTCAATTTGAGTTAAAAAAAAAAAAAAAAAGTGATCTGAACTGTAAGTGGGTCAAACTGCCAGAGATCAAACATGACATGACGGCACGGCAGCTCAAAAGCCAGGCCGAGGCGGCTGAAACGTGAGCCCTGACAGAGCCGTACACCAGGGTCAGATTCCCCGCTCTTTTGTCAATGAGGTGCTAAATAATTTGAGAAAACGCTGCCCTTTTACTTTCACCGTCCCCACCAGGTGACGGGGAAGACACTCGGGACCACCCTCTCCGTCACAGGGCGGGTTCACCGGATTCGCTCTGTTGTTTGAGTTTTAGGAACCTTGACCTTTGGTGGCCTCAGATAAGAGAATATTCAGGACACATTTTATTTACTCAATATCTCTTGCTGGGTATCTCTGCATTTTGACCCTCTTCGCTGTCTGCTGACAAACAATGAGACCTCTCAATCAATTTGAATGGTGAAGAGGATCCAGAATAGGTAATACAGCACCTTAAGGCTGCCATTAAACTTTGATGAGCATCTGCCTGGAATTTCTTTAGAGAGACGGTGGATCATAAAGGACCATGGGGACGCACTCCTGCCCATCTCTTTGGAGGAGCAGCTAATACAGGAATAGAAGAATGGTGAGTGATGTAGCTTCTGCTTTATGCCACCACTTTGTAATAAGTCTTCCTTCAGAGGGTTATAAGGTGTTAATAACGGCTTTATAACAGCTCAGTGAGGAGAACTGCTTTTAGGTTGATGTCAAATTATGAATTCTGCAGCTACTGATGTTAGCTACAGTCATTAGTAAAGGCTTCTCATGTCTTATAATGAGTTATTCACATATTTTAACATATTATTTTTGCCCATATGTGAGGACTGGATTGGTGTGTGCACATATTCTGGCACATATGTCGAGCAGTTCTCTCCTAGAATGTATATAGAGATGTTTTACACAGCGCGGAGGTGGTATCACTTCTTTTAGTCATAATATCAGATCATTTCTTGGCTCCGTTTCCTCTGGATGTGTCTAACATCCTCGTCTGTTATTCTTCCCAGTGAGTCATGCTTTGGTGCAGATGGACTGTCCTACTAGTTCTCTGCATCTGTCCTCTAGCCCGCCTCACGTCGTCTCCCTGTCCTCCTGGCTGCTGCTGCCTTCGACCAGGATTCTTGGTCTTATGCGAGTCACTGGGTCTGAGGTCCCTCCCTCGCTCCGTCCCTCTCACCACCTCGGTTCTGTCCGTGGCCAGGAACCAGCTCTGTAACGTGGACCACCTGCTCTGGCCCTTCTCCGGCCTGCAGGAGCTCAGCCTCAGTCAGAACCTGCTGGCCCGCTTCCCTCGAGGCCTTCCTCCCAGCCTGGAGTCGCTGCTGCTGCAAGAGAACCGCATCACCTACATCACCTCGGGCGCCCTGAGGCAGCTGGGGAACCTCACTCGCCTGGATTTAGAGGACAACCGCATCCGTGCCATCCAGCCGGGGGCCCTCCGGGGTCTGAACAAGCTGCAGGTCTTGAGGCTAAAAGGGAACAAGCTTACAAACCTCCCAGTCAACCTCCCCCCATCACTGACCTATTTAGATCTCTCCGAAAACTGCATCTCTGCCCTGGACTTGCCCTCGCTGTCCTCCCTGGTCAACCTGCAGGTGCTGAAGATCAACAGCAACTGCCTGCGCTCGGTCCCAGAGAGCGCCTTCGACAGCCTGCCGCGCCTCAGATCTGTGGACCTCACCGACAACCTGTGGGCGTGCGAGTGTGACATTTTGTACCTGTACCGCTGGCTGCTGAGCGGTAGACTGAAGATGGCCACGGACCTCGTGTGCACAGAGCCCGTCCACCTCGCTCAGCGTCTGCTTCTGAACCTCTCCGTCATGGCTATCTGTCCTCGAGTCCTGACGCCAAACGATCTTTACTCTGCACTGGAGAGAAAGCTGGCGGTGAAGCCAACGGCACAAAGCTCATACGGGGATTTGGGAGACTTGTTGCAGAAAATATCCAGACAAACCACTGTCGGGTTGGTCTCTGAAGTTCAAGATTTCCCCAAAACTCGTCTCCTACACTACTCATTAGAGACCCTTACCTACGAGGAGTGTTTATCCCTGAATAAAACTCAGTCAGTTAGTCCAGCACATTTAAAAACGACCACTTCTCTCCCTGAGGAGGATCAGAAGTGCAGAGAAAACATCACAGCTCGGTACGCTCAGAGCAACACAACCTCTGCTGAAGGGACACGATCTTTGCTTTCCACCAACAGAGATGGACTCTTGTCTACTCTCAACCCACAACCACTCAGTCAGCAGGACTCTGCGGTGATCATCGCTCTGCTCACAGCGTTGTGTGTTTTAGTAGCTCTCTTGATGGCGGCAGTGTTAGTTGTGCTGAAAAAGGTACTTTTGCGCCAGCAGAGGGTGGCTCCCCTTGAAGTAGGATCTGGTAGATAACACAAGCACAGACACCGAAGCTGTTGGTAATCATTTATTTCACAGTAAGCAATCCATTGACTGTATTGTTTTTGTATGTATCTGTTGACCTAACTGCATGTTCATGTTGAATTCTTCACGAGGGATTTTATACAATCAAGCCAAATAAAACCTCAAAGCCAAAAAAATATACAACAATCACCACACCTCCATCCCATTATTCCTGCTTTAAGATCTCCTTTATGTTCTGTGCATAAAATGACTGTAAATTAGGAAAAGTGTAAAGCTCCCGCACTTAAAACCAAGACCTGAAATGTCTCAAAAGATTCACCAAGAACTTTCCACTTCAAAATCAGCATCAATTCAACATTTCTAATCACCTCATGAGAAACAAATGAAAACATAAACACCATTAACGTCTGGCACTTTAAGAATATTGGAATCACTGCTTGAATCAAGGCACTGATCCCACAGCCACGGAGATCTATAACATGCCTAAAGCTCCCTGAACTCTCTGAAGGATGTAAGACCTGATGTAGCGTTACGGTAAGTCATCTTCCCCACAGCACTGCGCTGCTTTGAGACATGAGCTGGAGCCGATATATCAAGTTGAACACCCAATAGTGGATGAAACATATTAACTGCTGGCTTTGGCTCGTTCCTCCTTCTTGTCCTGTTGTTTAAGTCTGTAGTCTGACAGCGCTGCTTTTATGGCGTCTTCTGCGAGCACTGAAAGAAAACAAATGCAGGGGAGAGCATGAATTTCAATTTATTTGTATATTCAATTCAATTTTATTTGTATAGCGCATATTTACAACAACAAGTCATCTCATAGCGCTTAAATTTACCTGAATGAAAAGCTACATATACCAATGAGAAATGATAATCTTTTACTGTATATTTAATTTTTAATGAACCAACAATATGTATATTTATATAATACATTTCAGAAATAAAATACCTGACGAATCAATGCATTTCAGTCGACCTCACTAAATTTGCAGTACTGCCCGACAGTTAATCACACTCACAGGTGTTAAAGGAATCATTTTATTAACTATTCGTCAAAAATCTCAAAATAATTTTAACATTTAGACTGCATCACATCACCCACATGTAGGAATTGATAGTCTATCACTGGAAAAACCGGAACAAATGAGCTCGAAGCATGACAAATGCACATGTTTTGAAATAGGGATCAACTGTGTGTTATGTCAGACCTGAAGATGAAGATAATATGCATTAAATGTTATATGTTGAGAGCATGTGATATAGCTGGGGTCCTTCATAACTAGGCTTCCTCACTATTAATGATTACTAGAACTGAATCTCATCTGTAGACAAGCAGCCTGTCAGACGACGCTCTGGATCATTAAACAACAAAAGAGAGTTAATTTTGGAAATAAACTGCATTAATCTCTCCATAAAAGCTTCAGAAACCTGTAAAATCTATGCCAGGTATATTCTTCCTGTACCTTGCCACTCATCCGCATGCTTATTTAGGGTGCTGGATAACAGTATGTCTCCTTCAGTGAGCTAAAAGTACTTGAACTTACTGGAGCAGTGAAGCTTGACTGGAGGAAGGCAGAGTTCTTTGGCAATGTCTGTGTTCCTGATCTTCAAGGCGTCATCAACCTGCAGAGGTGAAAGCAGACGGATCAGATCCTCCACAAACAGAAAACAAAGCACAAATGTGTGACTCAGCTGCTGTACCAACTCACCGTCTTTCCCTTCACCCACTCTGTTGCTAGAGAGCTGGAGGCAATAGCTGATCCGCAGCCAAATGTTTTGAATTTAGCATCCACTATCTTTCCATTTTCATCCACCTCGATCTGGAGACGACAAGAGAGAAACGCTCAGTGATGCTATTCAGAGTCTTGACACCAGCATTGTCATGTTATCTCACATCCAGTTTACCTGTAGTTTCATTACATCTCCACAGGCTGGTGCACCCACCAACCCAGTCCCCACATTCTTGGAGTTTTTGTCCAGAGAGCCCACATTTCTGGGGTTTTCATAGTGGTCCACCACCTTCGAGAAAGACACAAACAGCTCATTATTTTTCCTTTTTCTTATACATAGTAGTAAATGTAGGTCGCTGCTGGCTGACTTAGCAACACAGACAGACAACACAACACGAACTCTACATAACTGAGGTGACTGAAGTTGATTAAAACTACAACGTTAAAGCATTTTCAGTCGCTCACCTTTTTGTGATACAAGCAGACAGCGGTCCGCTCCGGTGTGAACAACCTTCTGCTAAATAATAACAGCAAGGACGCGGACTTTCGTAAGCAGACGTTCGCCATGTTTCACTGCCGACGGTGAGCGGAAATCAACGAGTGAGCCCGAGTGAGGACGAACGGCTTTTTGTTGACAAACAGGTGAAAAAGAAGGTTTCCCCCGACGGAGGAGCCCCTACTAGCGGCTCACTGCGGCCTCTACACGCTGGCGGAGCGACGGTGAGTTCCGGGGACAGACTCCGCCTCTCGTCGTCCTGCTGGCTTGTTAGCTTGTTACCAGGCAGACAGCCTTTCCAACATGGCAGCGCCAAGCAACGCAGAGCAAACGCAGTTGCAAGACATGGAGGAGGAAGATGCGGGGATGGAGGAGAGGGAGATGGAGTCGGACGAGGGGGAGGAAGAGGGCATGGGGGTAGAAGATTCAGACGACGAGGAGGACGATTCGTCCGAGGACGAGAAGGAAAATGAAGCCGAAATCCAACGTTTGGAGGAGCAGGTGAGCAGCACCAACAGCCGAGCCAAGCTGGGTTAACTAACGTTAGCCGAGGAGCTAATGAGAATGAATGGGGGGTAAACACAGCCAGCTACAAGAAGTCAGCAGCTTTAGAAACGTGAGCTGCTCTGTCCGGACGTGGTTTAATGGAAACAGAAATGAATAAAGTGTTAGCTGCTGTTAACTAAAACAATTAAATGGACGTGTTTGTTACGACGTCATTCACACAGCTACCGTGATTAGCTGCCTGCTAATCTGTTATGCTAACGTCTCCTATCACACGCGCCTTTTTACTACCAGCCCGTGATTTCATCACAGCTCTGAGAGCAGGCAGAGAGAAAGTACACCAACTTTAACGACTGCAAACTGATAACTCTGTTTTATCGCGTCCCATAACATCGTCATGATTGAACTTGAACTAGTGATACAGTAGAAACTGTAACAGCAGAGACTAAAACAACTTGACAGCGTTCGTGCAGCCCCGCTATGTTACAGTCAGTTCCAGTTGATCAGATACACCTACGTACCAGCAGCACTGAGCCTGCTGCATGACTGTACCAGTCATCTCAGGAGCTGCTGTTTATAGTGCTGTTGCATTGTGTTGTGTTACATTCAGAGGTGTTTTTTTAATGATCAGCCTACTCTTTCTGTCTGACTTAAATGAAGGGACTAAAACATTAGAGATGAAGCACTATAAAGTACAGCTTCCAAGGTAACCTAAATGTTGAATCAACACTCCTCAAAAACCGTTTCAACAAAAAACCCACCCCCTGAATAATAGGACTCTTTTGTCTTAATAGTTCTATCACAGGTTACGTTACAGTTTAATTTGAAGCCAGAGTTATTGCTGTCTGGGGTATAAAGTCACTTTAATATTATGGTGATTGGATCAGATTATAACTTCAGGTCATTCTCTTTGGCAGTGGTACTAAATTGCTGGTTGATAAATACTGAAAACCTGGGAGGTGTTTAGGATATGTGAATTATTCAACATCTTCAACATCTCATTCCCCCTCTTTGTGCAATTTTTCAGCTGTCGATTAATGCTTTCGACTACAACTGCCATGTGGATCTTATCAAGCTACTTAAGCAGGAGGGAGAACTTTTCCGTCTGCGGAAGGCACGACAGAAGATGAGTGAACTGTTCCCGCTCACTGAAGGTTGGTTTTTGTCTCCTGCAGTTCAGGGGTCAGAGGAATCAGCAGCCCTGCATTGTTTCCCACTGAAACCATGTTTTGTTTGCTCCCGCAGAGATCTGGCTGGACTGGCTCAAGGATGAGATCCGTCTGAGCGAGGAGGAGCCGAACCGAGAGAAAGTATACGAGCTCTTTGAGAGAGCTGTGAAAGACTATATCTGTGAGTGCATCGCGCCATTATCACCACCTTGGATCTGACACTCTGTCATTACACGATCTTAACATTTACGTTTGTGCACAGGTCCAGATATCTGGCTCGAATATGCCCAGTACTCTATTGGTGGCATGGGCTCACCTGGTGGCATAGACAAGGTGAGAGCCATCTTTGAGAGAGCTGTGACAGCTGTGGGGCTTCATATGACCAAAGGACAGACGGTGTGGGAGGCATACAGGGAGTTTGAGAACGCCATTCTGTCCACAGTACAGGTTTGTGTTTCCATCACCAGGAGAGATCTGCTCAGCGGTCAGACATACACTCTGTTCTTTTGCTGTTTTAGTTCTCTACATATAGTTTTGGAATGACGCAGTTTGAAAAAACATATTAGAGAATGCAAGCTGGGCACTTGTTAGATTAAAATATTTTTTTTGCAGCATAATGTAGTTGCAGACAATTTAAGTCTGTCTTAATACCGTGTCAGAGCCTGATTTTGAATGTAAGACTTACTTAACTCAGAATAATTACAATTACTTAAAATGCTAAATTAAGTTCCTTTTGATGTTTGACTAAATGGGCACAATTTCAACACCATTTTTCTCTGCTGCCTCTCTTCTCAGCCGCCTCCTGGCAGGATTCCCAGCCGTGAGGAGCAGGAGCTGCTGAAGACTCAGCTTGAGCGAATCCATACACTGTTTCGCCGCCAGCTGGCCGTCCCCTTAATGGGTAAGAATGACGTCTCTTCTGTCCAGACGGGTTGCTATAAAACGGGCAGGATTCCTGTTGTGAGGGCCGTATGTCGTGGCCCACTTGAAAAACTGTGAATTACTCTATTAACAAAAAAGAAAAAAAAGATAACACTGCTTTTTTGGACAAGTTAAAGGTGGCAGGATGGTGATATGGCTTCTGAAACGCCATGCAGATTGAGAAGAAGAGCAGTCCTTGCCAGGCCCTGACATGCTTTCAGTTTGCTGCAGGAGGAGGCTAGAGATAGCCAGATGGTCTAGTAACATGTTTTTTTTAAATTCTGGACCATCCGTATAAAGACCAGTGGCATTTCTGTAATGCTCAAAACCCTTTTTTGTCGGAGCCTTTTCATTTGCTTGTTAAATATGAGACAAAGATGTTCATGGACACATTCCTGCAACTAAAAATTTATACTTCTCAATGTTAGCCTTTTATGCTAAGCTACTATATGTAGTGTGTCTATCTTTACTGAAAAGGTAAAAAGGGGAAGAAGTACATTTTGAGATAATTGTGCTCTCCTGTGTTGTAGACATGGAAGCCACGTATGCAGAGTACGAGGAATGGTCTGAACACGGGGTGGCTGAGACGGTCATACAACAGTACAAGAAGGCTTTGCAGCAGATGGAGAAGTGCAAATCTTTTGAAGAGTCACTGGTAACTTCTAACTTCTCATGGCCATTACAATTATAAATGCTTATTACTGTGCTATTACAGTTATAAATGCTTATTACTGTCTATTACAGTTATAAATGCTTATTACTGTGCTATTACAGTTGAAATTATGTCTAATTTTTGCAGTGAGTAACATCTGCCTGCTGTTGTCTTTGTTACAGCTGGTAGCAGAACCTCCAAAGTTGGCAGAGTATCAGTCTTACCTCGACTTTGAGCTAAAGGAGGGCGACCCTGCGCGGATCCAGATAACCTTCGAGCGGACTCTGGCAGAGAACTGCTTGGTACCAGACATGTGGGCAAAATACAATACCTATCTTGTAAGTATTATTCACTGTTTATGTCGTCTTTTAAAGGCTCCCAGTCGGACTGTAATGTTTGCTGTGTAGAATTGTGTCGCATTGCCTCCCAGATTGCTGTTTTTCAGCACCTAAAACTCGGCAACTCCATCATAACTAATCCAATTAAGTGGTTCTCTTTATTACATTGGATTTGCTTTTGAAAGTTTTTTTCTTTTTTGTCAAATTGGTTTATGTAGCCAAACCCAGTTTGGATTAAATGCACAGACATCTATTAGATATTAATGCAGTTGACAGTAATGAAGAATTATTTTTCTGCATATAAAAATGTGGTTGCTTATTAAAATATTTCATTAAATCTTCAGGAATGAATCTTTGCTGGGTTTCGATCGTTTAACCATTTTGTTACTTGCTTTCTCTGGGCTCTACAGGATCGTCAGCTGAAGATTAAAGACTTGGTGCTCTCCACTCATGATCGTGCCGTCAGGAACTGCCCCTGGACCATGGGTCTGTGGAAGAGCTACGTGCTCGCTCTGGAGAGACATGGATCTGACCATCAGACTGTATCAGGTAACAGCCAGAGCGCAGCATTAGGCTGTTCACACAACACCTCGGCTGCTTTTATTATTTAAGCATTTTGAAGTTCTTATGTACAGTCGTGACTCGATAATCCAAACCTTAACAATCTGAAAACCTTGCTATCCGACAGGATTTTAGGAAAAACTAACGGAACCCATTAAAAACAGCCTTAACAAACCGACAGCCTTGGATTTTGACTCCGATATGACATTTAATGTCACAAATAAGGATAACTGTGTATTATCTGACTTCACAATCCGACAGATTGGCTACGTTCAGACTGCAGGACTTAAAGCTCAATTCAGATTTTTTTGTGAAATCTGATTTTTTTGCAAGTTTGTTCTCATTTCCAATTAAATACGACTTGTATGTGGTCTGCTGTGTGAACTTCATACGACCCAAAAGTGTCCCGCATCAAGCATCAAGCCCTCCTTGTATCTCGACCTCCGTCTTGATAATCCGACAGCCTTGCTATCCAACATAAAAGAAGGTTTTACATTTAGTGTCAGATTATCGAGTCACGACTGTATTTTTTAAATTTTATTTTATTACTTATTTTTACAATTACTGTAATAGACTTGTGTATTTTGTTGCAGTGGGATATGAAAGATGAAAAAAAAAAAATAGAGAAATACTAGCGAGTGAAACTATCTCGATTCTTTCTCCAACACAGATGTTTTTGAGAAGGCGCTGAATGCTGGTTTCATTCAAGCGACAGATTATGTGGAAATTTGGCAGGCGTACCTGGACTACCTGAGGAGACGTGTAGATTTCAGTCGAGGTGAGAGCAGTGTTACTGTATTACAGAAACAAAGAATTCACGTCACTCTTTTGCTGATGGTTTCAAGTTTTTGTTTTTTGCAGAATCCAGCAAAGAGTTAGAGGAGTTGCGCGGAGCCTTCTCTCGATCTCTAGACTACATGAAGCAAGACGTTGAAGAAAGTAGGTGGATTTCACTGAGATTTATTTTAGTGGCGTTATTGATTCGGTTGTCTTGTTATTCACTGTTCTGTGTCTCTGTAGGGTTTGGTGAAAGTGGAGATCCTTCTTGTCTCATAATGCAGATCTGGGCAAGGATAGAGGTAAGCAGTGTTACTATGACAACCATTTTCTAGAGTTTGAGTGGTGTACGAGTATTGTTGAATCGTGGTAAGCATTTAACTGCAAAATTACCAAGGAATTGTGTGACAGGTCTGATGACCTTCGCTGTTTAAATTGAGTAAAGGCTTAATTCTATTCTTCTGCAATATACTACTGACATCCTTGAAGCATAATTAAATTGCTACTGAAAAAATCAATTGAGATGCAAGGTGAAGATGTGAAGGACCACAGATAGAACTGTGGTAGCAGCAGGTTTGTCAAACATGATGCAAGATCCATCCATTATCTATACACCGCTTAATCCTCACCAGGGTCACGGGGGGCTGGAGCCTGTCCCAGCTGATTTAGGAGGGGACACCCTGGACAGGTCACCAGTCTATCACAGGGCTACACTTAGAGATAGACAACCAAGCACACTCACATTCACACCTACGGACGATTTACAATCACCAATTGACCTCAATATGTTTGTAGACTGTGGGAGGAAGCCGGAGAACACGGAGAGAACCCACGCTGCATGGGGAGAACATGCAAACTCCACGCAGAAAGATCCCAGGTGTCCTCACCGGGACGCGAACTGGCGACCTTCCTGCTTGCTTGCTCACTATATTGAGGAAACACAGAAGCCACGTCTTTTACTCCGCTCTGTCCCCGACTACTGTAATTGGTTTAAATACATACAAACAACCCAGAGCGTTTTTTTCCCTCTGTAGCAGAATGATACTGAGGTGCAGCCAGACAATTATGTACGACAGAATGGACCGGCTAAGTGAGACTAATTGGATGTTAATGGCTTAATTGTGCCATTCAGTGCATCTGTTTCTCTCCTCATTTATTCAAGTTTTTCCCATAAATTTGTCACCCGTCTGCATGTAATATGGAGAGCACTTATCTCATATTTTCCTTTTCTTTCCACCATCAGGCCCTCCACTGCAAGAACATGCAAAAAGCCAGAGAACTGTGGGATAATATCATGACAAAGGGGAACGCCAAATTCGCCAACATGTGGCTGGAGTACTACAATCTTGAAAGGTTTGTGAGTCTAATGGGAAAACTGTTCATTGAAGTGAAGCGGTGATGCCTTTGTGACTAATCACAATTAATTTTTCAATTATCGTTACTATCCACAGGTCTTATGGAGACCCTATTCACTGTCGAAAAGCCCTCCACAGAGCAGTCCAGTGCACCTCAGACTACCCAGAGCATGTGTGTGAAGTCCTGCTCACGTTTGAGAGAGTAGAAGGTGAGCACCAACATAAAAATCCAAGTTAGCATAAAAATAAAGAAGCTTTTTAATGAATTCTAATATGTCTGTATTCTGTGTCTCACCTTCTAGGTTCTCTGGAGGACTGGGACGTAGCGGTGCAGAAGACAGAGACCCGGCTGAACAGGATTAACGAGCAACGAGCAAAAGTAGGGGCACATGTCAGCGCTGTGCCGGGCAGGTGTATCGTTTGGCGGCTTTTGGCTAATGTTACCATGTTCTGTCCATCTGTTAGGCGGCTGAGAAAGAAGCCAACCTGGCTCGCCAAGAGGAGGAGAGAGCCGAGCAGCGGCGGAAAGCCAAGTCTGACAAGAAGGCTCAGAAGAAGTTCCAGAAGGGAACTCGAGCTGGAGAGAAGAGGAAAGCAGACCAGGATGATTACCAGGATGAATGGAATGAAGACTCAGGTAGAGAGACTGCTTCGTCTGACTGATGCAACTTTTTTATTTTTAAGCAACATTAAATGTGATGTTACTCATTATGTGGTGTCTGATTTGTTTTGTTTCTCTGTGACATAACAAGCTCCGAAAAGGCACAGAGGAAACAGTGACCACACCACAGACGAGTACATGGAGACGGAGACCGGACTCTTTGGGAGGAACGCTCCACCCGGATACAAGCCGGCTCCACCTGGCAATAAGAAAGTGCAGCAGGGAGCAGCAGCTACTCCCCAGAGGCAGAATGACGACAAGCCAGAGCTTCGTAATGACAATACCAGCGTGTTCATCAGCAACCTGGCTTACACTTTGGAGGAGCCAGAGTCAAAGCTCAGGACACTGTTTGAGACCTGTGGCCCAATCAAAGAGATTCGCCCGGTCTTCAGCAATAAAGGAACCTTCAAAGGCTACTGCTATGTACAGTTTGAATCGCCAGTGTCGGTCCCTGAAGCTCTGAAGCTGGACAGACGGGAGGTGGAGGGCAGGCCCATGTTTGTGTCACCTTGTGTAGACAAAAACAAAAATCCTGACTTTAAGGTAAATTTCTTGTTTTTATTGTAGCTATTGTTTGTAAAAGGTCTTAAAATTACTGAGCCACTTTCCTCTAAAAGCAGTAGAAGGTAATGGATTCTCTTAATTCTTAAACAGCTTTTGTGTCCTTGAACTTAAAAGTAATTAAATATAAATTAGTCTTTTTTAATTGTTTAACCCGTCTGTTGACTTAGTGCCACTTTCCCCGGTCTGGATTGCTTTAATTTAATTGCATCAATGAGAATTATTGTTATGTGCTGCTGAGAGGTAGTGAAAAAATGTGATAATCAATAATCTAAGTTGATGGTGCGTCTGCTAGTTTTTGTTCCAACTTAGCTGATACGACTGAAAACAGGTGTTCAGGGTTCCCTATAAAAGCCCAGAGTATGAGGAAATAAAGTTATATCTTCACATTCATTTTTCTTTTTTTCCTTTCTAGGTGTTTAAATACAACACATCACTGGAGAAACACAAAATCTTCATCTCCGGACTGCCGTTCTCATGCACTAAAGAGCAACTGGAGGAAATCTGCAAAAGCCACGGCACCATCAGAGAGGTTCGTCTGGTCACGTATCGCTCAGGAAAACCCAAGGTGAGGCTTAACGAGGACGACGGCATCCAGATGTTTGGCTAAAAATACTCGTCTTGTGTTGGCGAGTAATTACTACCTTTGACCCTCCAGCAGCTGAGCGGAGTCGAGGTGTAGCATCTGTTGTTAACCCTCTCTCGCTGTGTGCCCCTGCAGGGTCTGGCGTATGTTGAGTTTGCAGATGAAACGCAGGCCTCTCAGGCAGTGGTGAGAATGGACGGCATGGATGTGGAGGGCAACAAGATCACTGTTGCTATAAGCAACCCTCCTCGCAGAAACGTGGATAAACCCGGTTCCAGCAGGCCCATGGGCGACATGATGCCTCGCCAGGTCTATGGATCGTAAGTTTGCCGACACATTTCTCCGCCATGACAGTAAATGTTTGCACGTGTACTTTTGTCTGTGGAGATTCTCAGCCATCCAGGTCATGGTTGTTCTGGTAGAGTAATCGTGGACTTGCTTGAGTTCCTTGAAGACGTCTCACCTCTCATCCAAGAGGCTTCATCAGTTCTGACTGACTAGTTGGGAGATCCACATACTTGTATCCTAAAGGAGCCATTAACACCTGAGTTTCGGTTTCAGTTGGGGGGTTGTTGCTCCTCCCCCTCGTTATGTGAGTCATTAGTGCTCCTCCTGCCACAAAGGGGTTCGTTAGGGTCTTTTGTGGCCGGGTATGAATGTGGTTTCATCTTCCTAGGGAGAGTTCTTAGGACTGAGTTGTAAACAGGTGAGAGGTGATGCCTCAGACCTCCACCTCTGTTAAGTGATGGTCCTTCCAGTTTTAGGAAGCCTCTTGAATGAGAGGTGAAACGTCTTCAAGGAACTCAAGCAAGTCCAGTTGCTATGATTAATCTACCAGAACACATGTACTTTTGCAAATGTTCAAATGATTTTCAATACATTAACATGAGTGTAAATCAGAGTTGTTGTTTTTTTTTTTCTTTCTCCAGGAGAGGTAGAGGACGGACCGGGCTCTCTTTACTCCCCCGTTCCCTTCACCGACAAAGTGCGCCCGCAAGCAAAGTGGAGAACGGGACGGCAGCTGAGCGAGTGACAGACAGCGGCGCGGCCAACGCAGCCGGAGAGCCCAAACCTTTGTCAAATTCAGACTTTGCCAGGATGCTTCTCAACAAGTGAGAAGACGAAGCAAGAGGATTATGACCGCCTTCACACTGAAAGCCATCTTGTGTCCTTACAAATTAGTGTCGGTGATTCTTCTGTCAATCGGTTACCTGATGTCCCTTTAATCTCAAGTCATGCTCGTCATCATCCGTTCTGCGAGATTTTGCCTTAATCGCCGCGCTCCCATCACAAACCCCCCTTTTCAACCCAGATTTTTTTTTTTTTAACCAGTGAGCCAGATTGTTTTTGTTGGGTGTGTTTGAAGGTGGCTGCCAGGCTATTTTATAAAAAAAAAAAGAAAAACCGTGTATCATATTTGTGTGTAAATATACTGTATCTAAAATTGTAAGCCTCATGTTTCAAGGTCTCTCTTTTTTTTTTGTTGTGCTCCGTTTGAGGGATCCGACAGAAGTATATGTGAGAGTATTTTTTTAAATGTTCAAAACAGCCAAACTTGTGAATGTTGTTTTAAAAAGGGTTTATGCAAAAGTTCCAATATGGTGTAATATAGTCGGTGTGTGTACATACGTTTGGACGTGCTGGTGATGAAGAGACGTTCTGCAGATGTTTTTAGGGGAAACTAGGACTTTTGTTATGTAACTTATTTTGACCTCTGAGGACACAGCTAACGAGACTGGCTGTGTTTGTTTTGTTTCTGACTGTATAGTGACTAATTCATTATTTTTTGCATCATACCATCCCTGAGTTACCATCCGCTATTAATCATCGGTATTACGACGCCGCGGAGAACCCCTAAAGGTTCCATCAAATCAGTTAACCAGCTTCTTCTCTGAGGGTTTTATAATATAAAGGCTGCCCTCTGTTCACGTCACACTGCTCACGCTTGAGTTGTAGTGTTTACAGACCTGCTCTAATTATACTGTCTTATGATTTATCTGATTTCGTGCATCACTTGTAACTCTTCCCTGTCTGTTCAGGGGAAGAACATCCGTAATCAAGTTAGTCACGTTTGAGCCGTCGGTCTGATTTATGTGCTGTGGACTGAAAACGAGATTCAGAGGGAAATGAACCATTCTCGCTTCACCGTGTGAAATTTGAAGGCAAGCAGGATGCTGGTGATGCTGAAAAATTGCATCTAATTGGCTGCTTTGGTGGCTGGAAAGACACCTGACTAATGTGTTTGTGTGGTAGTTTGGTTTATAGCCAGTGTTTTCAACCGTTTAAATCTTTAACTTGATAAGTCGTTGGCCCAGAAGTCTGGAGCTCCAATTATTTTGAGGGAAAAATCGTCAAATGGGAGAATAGTTTTCATTTTCTTATTGAATGTATTTTGGTTTTAGACGATTAACACAACATTTAATGACAAGCAGTCTTTGATTCTCAACCAATTAATTAAGAAAATGATATATATACATAAGCTAGTGATTACCTGCAACAGTCCAGAGAAAACATGAGTTAGTTTAAGGCGTCAAAAGTAGAACAGAACCATCAGTGTGCTGTCGAAGAACCCACGGATCATTATGAGCAAGTGTGGTTCGGACATGTTCGTCTTCATGCAGTTGGTTTCACCCTTTTAGTGAACTTGTGTTAGATGCTCTTCTCAGTATGCTACAAAAAAAACAAAAGGCTTATTTACAGATATTTAGATATATCATCTACTTATTATTTAGGTCCGCAGCTCCTTTGACACAATAGAAGAGAATCTATGCAGTTATTTCATGTTAAGGATCCACAAGTTGTCCACCAGTCCTCGTGTCTCGTTTGGAATATTATCGATTCTGTTCGTGTACATAATGTTCAGTATTTCAAGAAGGTCACCATAGTTTGTAATAAATATGAATCAAAATTTTCAAAACAGATTAAAAAAACAAGCTGTATGTACTGCTCTCACCACAGTGGCCTAATCTTAAAAAGAAAAAAAAATCGAAACATGTTGGTCGGTAGAAGTCACCTTCTGTTTAATGTCCAATACTAAACAAGTTGTATTGTGTGCATTGCTGTTGTTTTGTATTATTTCTATAGTCAATGTTTTAAATCTGGAATAGAGGTAAATAATTAAAGGCTTTTCTTTTTTCCCAAGTAGTATTTATTTTCCTGCGTTTTCAATTATCTACCCTTGTATTTTTGGGTCCTGTAAAAAAAAAAAGTAAAAAATAAAGTCATGTCATGTTTTTTGCTTTGTTACTTGGTCTAAAACTTGTTTTAATAAAGTCACGTAAATCATCTTTGATCCCAGTATGACGCTCTGCTTGGTTCATTCTAAAATAAAACAACTCTGCTCATAATGAACGGTAACAGCACGCTTACTTTTATTTGAAAATAAATACATGAAAGTGCTTTGCAGTGTTGTTTGACATCATCTTTATCCATAGATAATAAACTAAACGTTCACAAACTGTACACATCTGCAGTGGAAACCGCAACTCAAGCTCAAACAACTTGTTTTTTCTTCACCTCAGCAGTAGTCACATTTCAGATTGTAGATTCTGAGATAAATTAGAACGCCTCAACTCTTGAATACGGTTAAACGTGGAAAAATGTTTTGTTTTTTTAATTGTACAGAAAATGTGTTTGTATGAAAGCAAACCTAAACACAACAAAACCATTTCAGTTCAACATTCTGCAGCAGTTTGCAGTTACAGCAGCTATTGAACTCAAACTCAGACAAGGTGGGATATGACCAAGAGATGATGTGATGCAACACACTGTATGATGGGATTGTTATTAGTAGATTAATCGACATCTATTCCTGCATGCTGGTGCCTCGTGCTCCCTTTTTCCTCCCATCCCCAGCTCAGTTATGGACTGGGATGGTCTGTTTGCAGTCGGGACAGGCCTGGTCCTGGCCAGCTCCTGGCAGCCCCACAGCGTGCTCTGTTGTAGAAATCAACAGAGTGTCCAATGTTATTTCTGTACATTTGGCAATAAAGCGGATGAAGGGCCGAACGTCACCCTCGTTGGCCGTGTCTAGAGCTGCGTAATATTCAGCCCTTTGTTCTTTCCGGATAGTAATCGGCGGGTATCTCGCCTGCATGAGCACAAGGTTCATGAGCAGCCGCGATGTGCGTCCGTTGCCGTCCACAAACGGGTGCACGTACACCAGCTTGTAGTGAGCGAGAGCCGCGTACTCCACAGGGTGCAGCTGCAGGGCGTCATCGGAGTTGAGCCACTGAACCAGCTCCTGCATGAGTCGCTGCAGGTCCTGAGGGTGGGGTGGGATGTGGTGGCCCACAAACACCTGGTTGGTTCTCAGCCTCCCTCCCTCCACAGGGTCCACGTAGCCGAGCACCCGCCGGTGAATCTCCAGGATGTCGTTGACGGTCATGGCTCCTGATCTGGACAGCAGCGTGGTGTTGATGTACTTCATGGCTGCGTCCACACCGATGGCCTCGTTCTGCTCCTGAAGGCTCTTCCCAGGAACGGCATAGCGCGTCTCAATGATGTGGCGAATCTCCGACAGAGTGAGCGTGCTGCCTTCAATGGCCACCGTGTGGTAGATGTGGTGGTAGTAGGTTTCCTCCATCACTCGGCGAAGTGCGGAGTTGCCTTTAGGAATGGACATGAGCCGCTGCACTTTACTGTCAATGATGCTAAAATAACGCTGGTCAATCTCTTCCACCAGGGGAAGAGTTCGGTCTCGGCTGACCAGAGCTCTCTCGTTACACGGCGAGATGGCCAAGGCCTTGGTGTAGAGGTGGTCGGCCTGGACCACGTCCTTCTCCTCCTCCAGAATGGTCCCCAGCTCTGTCAGGGCATCCACAAAGTCTGGGTTCATGCTGAGCGCATGAACCAGCAGCTTGTGAGCCTTCTCTCTTTTCCCAAGTTTCTTCATCTCCAGAGCCTGCTGCAGCGCCGCTTTGGCCTCCAGCTCCATCTCTGCACACAGGATGAACAGCATCAGCAATGTGGAGGTCATAACACAGCAGGTACTTTAAACAACAGAAATGGGCAAGATTGAAAATAAATTATGACCCCAGAGGACTTTCTACTAGTGGCTACGACACTAAACATATGAATGCAGCAAGCAAATGGTCTTTGTTTCTTCTCTAGACTGACATGTCCAACAAGGGCTTCCAAAATGTCCGCCCACTTGACCAAGCCTTTCACAAAGAGTGGGACAACATCCCACAAGCCAGCACTGACATTTCACATGTGTTACTCATTACTGACATGTGATTTCTGGTCACTCTCGATCTGCTGATTATTATTTCCAGTGTAGCGAGTACTTGTTTGTTTGATGACATCCATTCTGCTGTAGAGATGCTGCGTAGTGCAACAACAGTTTTTTAATTCTATGTTAAAAAGAATGGATGGATTTTAATTAAAAAGTACATGCTGCGTTTATGTTTTTGTCCAGAGTGTATGGATAGAATCGCCTGTAGGTTTATGCTGACAAACTGACATTTTCAAGAACTTCAGACATAAATCAGGAAAATCATATTTGATATCCCACCATAGGATCACTGTAGCTGAAAATGGCTTATATTAGAGTTATATTCACTATCAACTAATCTGTAGCTTATTTGGAGGTTGTGATGAGTGAATTTCTCTATAAAATGTCAGAAAATGGTGTGAAAATGGCCATCACAATGTCTCCAGGAGCTTTAGTTGACATTTTCAAACTGTTGCCGGTCAGTAATCACAAAATATTTTAAAAAAAAAAAAAAAAAAATGTCTCCAGGAGCTTTAGTTGACATTTTCAAACTGTTGCCGGTCAGTAATCACAAAATATTTTAAAAAAAAAGAAATATTAAGATGCAAAGAACTGTACATAGAAAGCGTTTTCCCCTTTCAAAGTGATTTAAAGGACAATTAAGTCATTCTTAAGATTCTACAGAGGCACAGTCGTCCTCATGTGGTTTTGAAGCGACATCTCATTAATCTTCTTTAACATATGGCACTAATTTCTTGTTTGTACCTTTGCTCGGTTTGGACCTCTGAGGCAGCAGATCAAGGGCAGTGAAGGGGACCGTGAGGCTGGTGGACTGCACAGCTGGAGGCTGCTGTGAGCCCCCCCACAGCTGGCAGCGGAGCTGAGCGATGCCCTTCAGGGAGGCACAGCACCGGTCCTCCACCCCGACCAGGGGCATCAGGAGGGCCACCAGCGAGCCGAGGGCGACGCACAGCAGCGGGCCCCATCCTCCCAGGACACGGCCGCTGGTGTAGCGCCACACCGTCACAGCAGACATGTTGATCCCTGGTTAAATCCTCCATCTTCTGCTGAGGAGACCCACATCGTCTACTTCCACCCCAGCTTGGAGAGCCGGAGGGCGGCTGACTGGAGGGAAAACACGGTCGGTGTGTCAACCGGCAGATGACAACACAACTCAAGTAGGTACACAACTTTTACCGCTCGGACCTCAGTTATTTTGGTCAAATTAACTTCCGGTACATCTACGTGACTCTAAGGTAAAGCTTTAAAATACGAACTAAATGAACCACCCGACCACAGCTGACTTATCGGCGTCGGCACAGTTGTGTACAAAACATACACATCATCTACTTCCTCGAGGCTCGACGTGTGAATATGCTGGAATGTGATTGGTCAGCGGGCTATTGTAGGGCGATGCTGATTGGCTAAAAGTGCAGCCATACAACGATATGTTCGTAACTGCTTCTGCTTGGCTGATAGTGTGGAGCGTTCATCCCTCAGTTTAACCTGACAGGCGCAATGTGCGTCTGGAACAACAGCAGAGTAACATCATGTACCAAGTAGAAAAGTGTCCAAAAACAATTTAATTTGACACAAACACAGATTAATTACGAAGTGATAAACATATTCCTGTGTATAAATGCTGTTTTATTGAAAGATGCATCCATCCTAACAGTACTGAGATGTATTAGTTACTAATCTCTAAGATCTCAGCCTAGTTCTAAGAGTGAACTTGACTCCACTACATCAGATTGTGCACCTTTATGCTGATGGTGTAATTTTGTTCTGTAATATGCTTCCTGTACTTTCTGCTGTCCACCAGGACTGCTTTGCTCTGTTAGACGTTACACTCAGTAGGCATAGGTTAGTTCTGGGTGTAGATGGGACCGAATACATGATCTTTCTCAGCGGCAAAAATATTTCTTAGTTAGGTCATCTTTTTCGTGAATGGTACAAATATCAAAATTTAAATATCATTTGTCCACACTGGTGAGCAAACCACAGGACTAACAATAGAGGAATAAAATATGTTTTCCTATGCATTGTAGAAAAACACTTTTCTGTTAGAAAATGATGACATTTTATGTACATATCGGTGTTAATTACTCTGCATTAAGATTGATTACTGCTGATAGTTACAGGCCCATCACTATGAGCTGTGTGCTCAGGTAAACCTGTTTTGGAAGCATGAGGGGGACTTACACGACATTAGGCAGCTGGTTTTAATGTGGTGTCTAATCGGTTGATGTGCAATGCAGGCTTTAACTCTCCACAACAAACTTTTGCAAGTTGCCTTGAGTGAGGACTGGCCTCCAAACTAGCGGTGATGACATAAATCATGCTGTCAAGATTCTGGGTGAGAAATTTCCTCTTTCAGAAGATTAACCTGGAAACAATTTTCTGGTGTCAAACTCTGGATATTATTCTGCAGAGTGAAGCTCAAACAGTAAGACATTTTTGAGTATAGTGCTGCTTGAACTGTTTCATTTAGGTTTTTATGAGTGTGTTGTATTCACTTCTGTTTATTTCTTTAGTTTTCTATTCTCAGCTTGTATGGCTACTTTTCAAAAATATTTCCTGACTATCTCACACATCTGCAATGCTTTAAGTTGTCGAGGTTGTGGAATGTTGTCCCCGGCCTTTTTCAGGACTGAACCCTCTTGACAAACACCTCCATCCACACTGCAAATTGTCTGTTGTTCCATGTTGTGTTAACTGATTTCTAAGATGCCAAATGGTAAAGTTGTGGACATTCAAGAGCCTGACCCCAGCACTAAAAGACATTCCAGCATCTAACATAAAAACAGTCTGACTTTTTCTTGTCATTGGTAGCATTTGAATAAACACACATTTTAAGGTGTCCTGTTATAGTCACTGGTCAGAAGAGTGTCTGTGTGCAGGTCACACTACCTGATCGTTGTCCTTCAAAGCCACATCTGACTACAGTGTGGATTAATTCTAGAATTTGTCACCAGTTGAACAGCTTAAAAACTTTAACCTTTTCTAACCAGAACAACACAAAAGAGATTTTTTTTACTTTTTCTCTTAGTCAAAAAACACCATCTACATGCTCTGTTTGTATTTTTGTTCAGTGCCATTTGTAGTAAATAGCTACAAATCCAGCCTGATCTCATATTTTAGGCCTGATATTTACTTTAACCCCACAGTTTTTGTAGGTTCAGCCACTGAATTTACAATGTCAGCCACAAACTAGTATGATGCTACTTGGCACAGGAGGCCACTTTCAGTAGCACAACCTGTGACCACAAAGTGAGATTAATTATAGAAAACAAATAGATCAATATTTGATTTGGCGTTTCACAGGGTTCTCGTCATACATTATTAGAGTAAAATCCATCTGCTTTGCTCTGAGTTGTCCTTCTTCTGCCATTTTAATGCACATACAGTAACAAACAGAGGAGGGCAGCATTGCTCTGTTATGCAAACATCCCAGTCATAGTCAAACACTCTGTATCCTCTGAAGACTGCAGCAGCACTGTTGGCCTCAAAATCAGTCTGATCAAGATTTAGGCTTAAAACATCCAGTTTTTGAATACAACAAAACTGAGATTATTTTTGTATGTAGCAAGTAATAACCTTTTTATATTGATCTGTTTCTATCTATTTCATGTCACCAGTATTTTGCAGGTTTTATGTATTTAATTAAAAGCTTTATACTTCAGTGTCGGTCATTTCACCACAGTGGAATTGGCTTTATAGAACTAACCACCAGCTGTGGACAGCCCGAGGTGATGAGGATTGATTCCTGGCTGTATGCCAAAGCCAACAGTGGACATATCTTCAGCAGATGGACATGGCGGGCTATCGGCTCCAAATAGCTTATATTCACACGCAGCCTGTAAGTCTGCAGCGACACACTGTCACCACAGATTTTGTAGGGAAAGTTATGAATGAAGGACCGTGTGGGCGACGCTGTGTGGCGTTAGAGATTCAGTATGTCTGTCTGAAGTGTAAGATTTAGAATTCATCTACTCGCTGTACTCACAGTGAGCTCTGGAGCTGCACACTAACACCATTTACCACTACTGAGTCTGTTCTGACCCTCAGCAATTTCACCTTGGAGGATAATGGAGCTGCCTGTTTGAGAGTGCTTGAGCTGCAAATTTCTTCACTCCTGTTATTCATGCACACATCGAAAAGCAACGATGAATCGGTGACAAATTGTAGTGGCCAAGAGTATATTTACTAAGAGGGTGCAAGGAAGGAAGGAAGGAAGGAAGGAAGGAAGGAAGGAAGGAAGGAAGGAAGGAAACATGAGGAAATATTTAATCTGCATGCTGGCAATGATTAACTGTGATGGGCGAAGAGACAGCTGCTGCCTGTGGGATACAGGCTCTACATTTTGTGTATCAAGGCCTCAAATCACACACAGTGCTGTATAATTTTGTCACTGCACCAAGACATTTTATTGCCAGTATTCGGTATAGAGGCAGATTTCCCTCCATAATGCATGAAACTGTAGCACCTGAAGGGTCACAACAAGAATTTGCACAGCCCTGCAAGTACTTTCACCTATTACAACGAGTGTGTCACATCCAGAATCATGACAACTAAAGCACAGCGTTGGCTGCAGTCATTATCACAGTCACAGCTCGTCCCAATCAGCCTTGGCAGCAGTCAGTGAGGGAGTTGAGTGAACTAGTTCCTGTGGCAATCTATCTAGCTGCAGTGAATGCTGCTGAGCAGCCTCATGCAGCTGAGAGAGCACTCACTGTCACTGTAGCTGCCTGCTACATAATACATAACACTGTATCATAATACAGCTCAGTCTTTTCTTTCTGGATCAGAGAGAGTGCAAAGACTATTATCAGATAATACAAAATTAGCTCAGAAAAAAATCCACTTGACTCTTCAGCACCTCCGTGTGTGTACATGTGTGGGGGGCTCCTGTTTTACAACATCTGTGAATGAGTTGCATCTGGTAATTCGCACAAATCTCTGTGTTTTCTCACCTGTTTTCTTGCTGTTTTTTGGGGGGCGTTTTTTGGAGGTCCAATCTACTGCTGGTCTTTCTGTGTCTGCCTGTGCACCTTCTGTCATCAGTCACAAGTCCTCGGTTTTTGAACTTTCATGATAAAACCAAGTATGGCAGATGGAAGATTGGGTTTTTATTGTTCTGATGAATAGACTGGCCCTCTGTGTGAAAAACTGGAATTACTGCCTGATGTTTGCCTCCACCAACCAGAGAAGTTATAGGTTACATTTATGTCTGTTCAAACTCTTAAGATATGTGTGGGGAGGAGTTTAAAGGGATTTAAGTGGTGGGCACCCAAAATCAGTGTCACTGAATCAGTATCCAACCAAATGCGAAATATGGTCACAATCTCCCTCCATGTTCCTGAGTGGTGGTGTTGACCAAAAAGGTGGTTTTGCAAAACATTATCATGTTGTAGCAAAGCTGACCTTTGACCTTTTGGTTATGAAAAGTCATCACTTCATTATTTTATCACAGTATTTCTGTGAAAATTTGTTTGAATTCTTGAGTTAATGCCAAAAAAACATTTTTTTAACGTTTCATTTTTAGGTCCAAAGTGGACGTTTTTGTAACATTTGAGGAAGTTCAGTGTTGAGGAGACTTCATGTTCTGAGATGGACGGACGTACAGACGGAAGGCTGTCGCCCGCGCAGAGGCTTAAAAACAATGCTTGACCTTTTTCTCTGAGTTCACTTTATCTCAGAATCAGAATCAGGAAAAACTTTATTTATCCCCGAGGGGCAATTATGAAGGCTGTAAAGTAAACAGACATCCCACACTGAACATAAATAAGATGAAGATGGTTAAAACGGCATTAAAATGTATTTAGTTTAAAAATGTGCAAAACATTAGAACAGCTGCACATTGTAAGTAAGTAATGACAAAAAATAACAATAATGATAAAAATAAATAGTGACACATAATCAGTATGTCTGGTTAAAGAGGCACGCGGCCACTGGGACAAAGGTTACATCCTCCTACTCGTTCTACAACCTGGACAGTGTAGATGTCGCCCAGAGGAGGCCACTGAAAAACAGGAAAGACAATATGTTTAGGGCCATCTTCCTGCAGATCTACTGCTGTGTCTGGTGTTTTCTGTCAAACTGACTTTGTGATTAGTTTTTTAGTTTAGTTATATAGTTCCTTTAAAGTGAAATTTACCCTTTTTAATGGTTTGATTTCCAGAATAGCGTAATTTTAAGTAGACTGAGGCATCAGTTTTGCTCCACTCTTGGATTTTCTTATCTGGCTGCAGCTCCCTTGTGTACAACACAGACGAGCATCAAAGCAGCGACACCTTGGCCACTTTTCCATTGGGGGCTTC